GGGTGAGACTGGGCACGCGGGTGAGACTGGGCACACGGATGAGACTGGGCACGCAGGTGAGACTGGGCATGCGGGTGAGACTGGGCACTGGGTGAGACTGGGCATACGGGTTAGATTGGAAACGTCGGTGAGCACACTGGTGAGACTGGGCACGTGGATAAGACAGATCAGACATGTGACAGGTGGGATAGATCACACACAGGTAAGAGGCAGGACGAGTAAGACAGAACAGGTGGGACAGATAAGGCAGACCACACAGGTAAAAAAGGTTAGGAAGCTAAGATCCATGGGACAGGTGAGAAGAATGATATGAGACAGGTCAGAAAAGACAGGCAGGATAGGTGACGGATGATTCAGGTGACAGGCAGTACAGAGGGGATAGGTGACAAAGGTGGGACAGGAAGTGGCTGGCTGGCTGCCTGTGTTCTCGCCCTGTGGCAGGGACATGTGCCTGTTCCCAAGGCCCATTGGGGGCCCCAGTATGGCCTCTGAGATGTCCTTGCTGGCAGAGACCTTTCCGCAGCACATCACCTGGCTAAAGGTGAGAAGACTGAGACTCACGGGACAGGGGGCATCCCTGCTGAGCACGGGGCATGGGCTATGGGCCAGACTAACCTCCAGTTCTTGGTGTGGGGGGGGCCGTGCTCCACACGGAGCAGGGCGTAGCGGGCGGCATTCAGTGACAGGCCCCGGATGCCGTCACCCCACTCCTTCTCAGCCCTGCAAAGAAAGGGGGGTCCATCAGCTACATGCCCAGGAGGTTGCCAATACAGGGCCCACAGGCAGACCCTGGCATCCCAGCTCACACCTCCCATCAGCCAATGTGGAGTTTCTTTTGTGGTCTGGGAGAGGGCCTGGGTGGGGTGAGGTGGGGAGAGCAGGGACCCAGGGCCACCCATGGAAGCACCTGAGAGGCAGCAGACTCTGGTTCCCACCCCCCACTGACTGCCCAGGAAAGGGCCAGGAGGGGATGTCCTGCAGAGCCTGTGCCTCCCTTCCAGGGGCTAGTGAGTGGCAACAGCAGACAGGGTCTCCTTGGGAAGCCTCCATGCCCACTGCCCCTGGGAGCTGGCAGTTCAGGGGCTGTGCCTTTGGAGGAACCAAGAGTGATGCTCAGTAAGTACCAGGAGCCCTCTCCCCGGGGACAGGGGTTAGAGGCCATGACATGAGGGCACCACAGCCAGCACGTGGAGGGCAAGTGTGGCTATGGTGTGCAATCACAGACACAGCTGATGACATGTCACAACCCAGAAGAAACAAGCACTGGCAGATGCAACCTGCTGCCTGCCACCAAGACGGCGCAGAGCTGAGCTCTCAGGCTGAGACCCCATCTCCACCAAGTGTAGGTGAATCTGGGCTGTAGCAGCTCAGCCTTCCCTAGGCCACCGCCACCATCCCCACAGGCCCCAGTCTGAGTGGACTTACCCACGGAACTCGATGTACTTGTAGATGCAGCCGGCAATGAGCATAGCGATGAGTGCATAGTACCAGGAGCAGATGAACATCAGCGCCAAACACAGGCTCATGCCCAGAAAGGACAGCGTCCTGGGGGACAGGCGGTGCCCGCCCAGACCATATCTGAGCATCTCCCTCAGGTGCTCCCTTCCCTCAGTGTCCTTGTGGGCATCCCCAGGCAAGCCAGCACCGACTCTGCATCCTGGCTCCCTCCCATGGGTACCCTGGCTCCAGGACCACAGGGATGCCCACGCTCTTCCCAGCCTGATGCATTCAGCACCACAGCTATTCCTGTGACCACCAGGAGGCTGGCATGGACATCTGGATGTGCAGAGATGTCACTACTGACCACGGACCATAAGGGCAGAGACCAAAGACAGGCAGCCCTAAGTGGCTTCTTTGGGGCTTGATCCAGAAAGACAGTTAAGAACCCCTCGGGTCCCCAGGCCACATGGGTCCTCCCTGTCCCCATGGCCAGAGGCAGGTCCTCACCAGTGGTAGTACTTGAAGCGCGGGCGCCAGTTGGGAGTGCGCAGCAGGGTCTGCACAGCACAGGCCAGGTTCACAAACAGGTAACACATGAGGAAGAACCTGCCACAGGCACAGGCGCTGAGCACATGGCTAGGGCCTCACAGGGCCTCCCGTGGGGCTGCTCAGCCTCCACACCACTGTCCTTCCAGGAGAGTCTCTGTCCCGTCCACTCTGTCCTCCACCATGGGAACTCTCTGTCCTGTCCACTCTGCTATCCTCCACCATGGGGAGGCCCTGTCCTGTTCACTCTGACCTCCACCAAGTCCTGCCCGTACTGTCCCTCCCCCCATGGGTTCTCCATGCACCTAACTTAGCCCCACATCTCTGCATAGAGGTGAGTCAGGCATCCCAGACCTTTTCTGTTCCCTTGCCCCCTAACCCACAAGCATCTGCCTAGCACACTGTCCCATCTGGCCCTCCACAGGCACAGGCCTTGAGGCCCTAGGAGCTGCCCTCCCTAGCCTCCATGCCCTCCTGTCCTGAGCCTACACCCATAGGCCCCATGGAGCCATTCCCCTCCTGTAGCCCCCATACCCACTATGTCTGCCAGTGAGGCTGCACTCTGGGCTGCATACAGCCATGGGAATAAGTGGCAGCCAGGTACCCTGTACCCTTGTCCCCACAACTCACATGGAGAGAATTGGGGCCACACTGTCCAGGGAGGCGATGAGGACACCCATCTCACAGATGAGGGCCGTGAGCAGCAGGGCCCAGGTGGGCTCCCCATTGGCCTTCCCATGGCCAAACACCTAAAGGGAGAGGGGCAGGTGGGGACAGGAGAAATGCCTTCCTGTTGGGGGGAGAATACACAGGGAAGCCCAGCAGAAACCGACACTCAGGGCACAATAGCTGCACCCCAAGAAGGGAAGCCCACCAGTCAGGGAGCCCGTCTTTACCTGGCTGTGCCCCTACCTTGCGTGGCCCCAGGTACAGAAGCCTCTGCTTTGGTTTCCCTGACCACATAGGGCAGTATGCCCAGGCACAGAAGCCCCTGTCTTAGTTTCCCCAACCATGCAGGGCAGTGTGCCCAGGTATTTACCAGCTCCCACCCCTCTTAAGAGGCCTGACTGAGCCTCTGGGGGCTCCCTGCAGACGACACTGCCCTTCTGAGGCCACCACTCCTATCCATTTGAGGGGTCAGTGGAGCTGGACAAGGGCTCACCTGGAGGAAGGGGATGATGCCGTCACGAGCGATGGCCTGCAACAGGCGAGGTGCCCCCGTGAGGCTCTGCAGGCCAGCACCACAGGTGGAGAAGAAGGAGCCAATGACGATGACCCAAGGCGATGGCCAGGCCAGCATGCCGATGACCAGGTTCCCCTGCAGCGCCTCCCCGAACCTGCAGGCAGGCAACATAGCTCAAAGTGCCAGGTAAAAGCCACAAAAGCTACTTTTCTTACGAAGGGGCCTCCTGGTGGGGCCACAGTCCCCATCTGACCAACTGGCCAGAACCCTCCGACAGTAGGGATGCCTAGCTCCGTTGGTATTACTCTCAGGAGCAAGGAAGAGTTGGCCTAGCACAGTCAGCAGGGCCTCTGCACCCAGACCTCACTGTCAGAGACCACTCAGCACCCCCCCGAGGCACAGGTTCAGCGGACACCCTGCCAGGGCTCCTCGACACCTCCACTTGGCAGCAGACCCAGGGTCCCAACCCCACTGCCTCCCTGGAGGGGCCTACACCCCAAGCCCTCAGCTCTATCAAGTAGGGGTTCACTCTAAGTGCCCCCCAGCTCAGGGCAATAACATGTTAACACTTTGGCCAAACAAGGGGGTCCTATCCCAGGCCTAGCGTGGCTATCTGCTCCAGATGACACCGTAACATCCAAGGGTGACTCTAATCTAAGGCTAAAGTCACCATCGGGAAAGCCACTGAGCACAGCGGTCAGCACAAGTGGTGGGGAGGCGTACTTGTCTCGCAGAACCACGCCCTCAATGCAGGCCCCAAAGAGCACGACGCAGGAGAGGTCTGCAGCACGTCAAGGAGCAGTGGCTGGAGAAGACGTGGGTGCTGGCGCCAGGGGCACCACTGGCCGGGAATGACCCTGCCCCACCCCTGTCCCAGGCACACTGCAGTGCCCTGACCCTGTGGTCCTCAGGGCACCCTCCTCAGAGCCCCCCCACCCCCAGCTCCACAGAACAAAGTTTGGGTGGTCAGCATGTGCCTGGCCTGGAGATATTCGCTCAACTAGACAGAATGGGACACCTGGACTTCATAAGCCAGGGCCCCAGCCTGCTGAAATTCATTCAATGCTACATTTGCTGTCCAGGACTATCCCATAGCATCTAATGTGTGTGACAGTTTAAGTAGCACAAAACCAGCTATGCCCAGGGCAGGACCATGTGGTCAGAAGCTGTATGACCCCCTCCCCCAGCCTTGACTATTCAAGGATACAAATGAAGGATGTGGTCACAATGGCCAAAATGGTCCCTGTCGGGATGGACTTCTGGGCGTCCTTGAGGTCTCCGGACCGGTTTGAGCCTGCCATGATACCTACAGAAACAGAAGATCCTGTTACCAGCACATTGGGCTGGGGCAAAGTCAGACATGGCTACCACGAGCTGGAATAGCCCAAGTGCGTGTTAGCCAGTACCCGCAGAGGAGTCCGGCCCAAGGCCAAAGCCCAGACCCCACGTGTCCACACTGTTGGATGTCTAGTACTCCTTGTACAGGCCAAGGAGTGCTAGACATCCCCACACACAGATTCCTAGTACCCAAACTGAGCTGGGGAGCAGGGGGATTCACAGAAGCCTACCAAGGGCTCCTGTAGCCTTGTGACCCCCATGGCCCAGGGCCAGGCTCCCTGAGGACGTGGCCAGAAGCTGACTGACCTGGGGAACCAATGTTGATGGGAGCATGACAAGACATGACCCCAGGAGCACTTGAAGCCTGGTGCAGCAGCCCCCGGGACTGACAGCCCCTCCTGCCGCCACACCCACATCAAGTGGTGCCAACAGAGCTCAAAGAGGCCCAGGTATCATGTGACCCCACCACAGGGTCAGCTGGAAAACTCTGCATGCTGACAATGGCACCAGGGGCAGCAGAGACATGGGGACCAGTGCTGGATGTGTGCTCAATCCTGGTGCCACCCAGAGGCCCTCCCGCCTCCCACTGCACCTGCACTTGGAGCCCAGCACCTGGAAAGATGCCAGTCCACCAGCCTGAGTGCCCTGTCACTACATCTAAGCTCTGGGGCCTAGGAGGGGCTGGGACAGAGTCTAGGAGGTGGCCATGCCACAGACACAGGGCAGTAACAGCCACACAGGTGCCAGCTGCTGGCTGAGGTAATGTGCTGGTATGTGCCAGTTGAGGGGAGTTGGCATGGCCTAAGCTGTCTAGACCCAATGAAGACACATGTCCCACTCTTGGGTAGGGCACATATGGCTCCCACTCAGAGGCCACCTGACAGTGGCCAGAGCCTCAGCATCCCACGCCCCAAAGCCAAACAGCAGCCTGCTCAGAACACACCCAGGAGACAGGGCTCTCACAGCCCAGAACACACTGGGGCACACGCTGCTGTCCCCCAACCAAACACACAGGAAAGGAGGGGCAGGTCTGAATGTGTTAGAAATGAGAGCCAAAGATGGAGGGAGACAGAAAAAGACAAAGTGACACTGAGAGACAGAGAGAGACAGAGACAGCTGGAGAGTAGCTGCCTTACCGGTCACGGAGGGGAAGTAGATGCCGACCAGCAGCGTGAAGTAGGTGGTGATGTCCGTGAGCACATAGGGCAGCCCACTAGCTCGGCTCTCCTCAAGCACAGACGCCGTGGGCATGCCCTGCTTCTCCACATAGGATCCCTTGTGAGCGTACGCACTCCACAAGTTTTCTGTGGGTCAAAGAGCAGGCTAGGCAAGGAGCCTTCCTAATGGGGTTCCAGCACCTTCTGTCAGGGCTCCCACTGTGGGACAACTTGTACCCCAGCAAACACCACTTGTGGCTGGAGAGGCTCCGACATCACAGGAGGACAGCTAACTCTGGAAACTCACGTCTGTGAAAACTACCTTCCCCACACCCACGAGCAGAGTACAGCACAAAGGCAAACTCCACATGCACAACACATGTCCTAAAAAGCCACCTATTTCCTGTCACCTATTCTTGGAGCAGGTCCCACTTGGAACCTGCCAGGGCGTCCTTTTTCCTAAGACCTCAGGCTTGGCCCTTGGGCTAGGAGGAGGGATGTGGAGGGGAAAATGCACATTCCCACTGTTAAAATCACCCAAGCTTCCCTTGCAACCCTGTGTACTCATTGAAATAGATGACCAACTATAAGACCACAGCTGGCCTGGGCGGAGGGGTTGTCCTAGGTTCAGGCTGGACTGAATAGGGCCAGGCACCTGGGTGCAGCAGGGACCAGAGACTCAGGTGCCAGCACCTCACCGTCCCCGGCCCACCCCAGACCCTGCAGGGGCCCTTACCCAGGAAGACACCACTGGCCACGCCGGGGATGCCCTGGATCTCGGTGACGTTGTTCTGAGCAAAGTACTCATCACAGGTGGCGCTGGGCTGGGAGCCATTGCAAAAGAGGCCCCAAAGTGTGGTGGTTGCTGAGCCATTGCTGTCTGCATGCAGCTTGGCACAGACGTCAAAGCTGCGCCTCGAGAGAGTGCGGTTCCCCAGCAGGCAGACCCTGGGGGGCGGGCAACCATAACACCTGTGGCCATATCCCAAGTCACGGGCGTGGGAGGGGCGGGGGGGAAGGGTAGGAAGAAGGGCAGCCCTGACAGTGGCTTCTCTTCTGACAATGTGCCTTCCAAGGTAGGAGGGCCACCGAGGCACATGAGGGACCAGAGCTCAGCCCTGCAGGCCCCTACACTTCTCAGCCAGCGTGGTCCAAATGTATTAAGTGGAAAGTCCACGAGTAACCCCCAGCCCTCCACTGGGCCCTGCCCTGAGCATGTGGTGGACCCCACAACCCCTCCCTTTGTCCAGCATCTGTGCTGTGGACACCCAGCCGCACCACTGGAAGCCCATAGTGCAGCGTTCATGCACCCATGTCCAACTTGGTCACAGCTCACAGAGTGTAAGGCAGCTGGTTTGTAAGTTAAACTTCTCAGGGGCACATAGCATGGGAGATGGGCACACAGGCTCCACCTCACCTGGCCATGGCATGCTGGGGGGCTCAGAATGTGCTCCCCAGCAGTCCCCACCCCCTGAACAAGCTCCCCCAATGTGGGGCTGCTCTGCCTCTCTCTGCTGGGGGTACCAAGTGCAGGTGAATGATGCTGCTCCCTTGAGGGCAGCTCCACAGGCAGAGCTGGGGGCCCCACAAGGGGAGGGGGGCCAGGCCTCTCCTTGGTCCTATTCTCTGGGTGGTTGGGGTCCTTGGGCCACCTGCCCCAACTGCCCTTCTGAAAACAGGACGAGGAAAAAGGCCATCGGGGCATCTGTGATGAAGCCAAGGGGGGAAACATCCAGAAGCTCCACATGGTCTGACTATCCACCGGGCTGCTGGCCACCCAGTACCTGTAGGGCCCTCACCTGGCCTTCTGCCGTCACAGACATGGCCATACCCAGACACAGGAGCACTTGCGCCCACCACACCCTCAGCTAACGCCCATGGGAGGGCTCCTGCCCCAGGCCACATCCACACCCTGCTCGTCGGGCCTGGACTCTGGTCACATACCACCCACAGCTCAGAGGGCCCCAGACAGCCCTGGGGACTCACGGAATGTCCGGGGGGTCAAAAGCGGTCTTGATGACGCCTGCATAGATGGCCAGGATGGATAGCACGACACAGGCCAGGAATACTAGGGCCAGCTTGTTGACATACTTGACACCCACGAAGACCACCACGGCCATGAGCGCCAGCGTGCAGGTGCCGTACACACGCATGTTGTTCAGCATGGCCGCTGCCTCCCCGGCTGCCCCCTCCGCCTGGAAGATGGCCGCACTGGGCGAGATGTAAGTCTGTGGGCACAAGGCAGTCAGGGGGGCCTGCCAGACCCAATTGGCCTCAGAGACCCAGGCCCTAACCCTGCGCACCACACAGGGAAGTCCATCCCTGGAGGCTCCGGAACCTGCTAGAGTCACAGAGTGGACCCCACCAGCCCAGGCTGCGGGCCACTAGATTTGGCAGGGGTGGAGATATGGGAGGAATGAGGATAGTGTTAGGGGGCATCCCATGGCCTTGAAGGGGCCTCACTAGGCTCTTAGAATAGGAAAGGGACTCAGGAACTTGCTTGGTGATGATGGGTGTGAGCTGTGGCCTCTTCTTGGAAGGCCATGATGTGCCTTGGTGAGCAACCTGCTGGTCTATGACACTGGCCATCACACACAAAGATAAGTGATAGGACACAGAAGGGGCTGGAGTCCTGGGCAGGGGCTGTCTCCAAGTCCAGTCCCAGCCTAGATCTGTGGCCCTGACATCCAGGGACATCCACTGCCCTGTGCTCACTACTGACCAGAGTGGGGGTGCCTGAGCAGGCCCAAGTGGCTGCTGTCTGGAGGCTCCTGCAGGGAGCATGAGGTAGGGACAGGACACGGTGTACGGGGGCCTGGACAAGGAACCACACAAACAACACACCTACCAAAAAAATCTCGATGGTCCCCAAGATGTACATGGCCCCTGCAAAAGTCGTGCCTAGGTAGAAGCAGAGGCCGACAGCACCTCCAAACTCAGGTCCCAGCGCCCGGGAAATCATGTAGTAGGAGCCACCAGCTGCAACACAAACAGCAAGGGAGACCTAGTGGGTCAGAGGTGCCACAGGCCATGAACTCTGCTGTCAGGAACAGAACTAATGGATGAGGGGACACCTGTCTTCCTCCCACACCCCAGAGACAAAGACACGTAGCTCTTGCCCCACAGGAGTCCACAGGAGCTCTCGAGTGACAGCATCTTTGTGGAAATTATCACGAGGAAGGGGATTAAAGCCCACTGCCTGCAGGATGGCACGAAGGCAAAAGAGAACAACTCCAGCTATCTAAACTTGTTTGGTGTGTTCCATATCATACATCTAAAGGGCCCTCTTAGACAGCTGACACCCCCAGTGCCATGGTCTGCCCACCCAGCTATGGACAACCCTGGACCCTCTGGGAGCCATCTCTGTGTGGGGCTGCTAGGCTGAGCCTGAGGACAGACAGAGACCCAGGTGCCCATGGCACTTGTTTGCCCAGGGCTAGGATGGAGGCTGCTGTGGGCTGGGGAGCTTTACTGCTGGGAGGTTTAGTGGAAGGGGCCAAGCGCAGGAATAAGGAGCCACGTAAGCTGAGCCATTTATGCACACACAGGACACCAGACTATAGGGCACGAGAGCTGGCACTGTCTCAGCTCACCGATGACTGTTGTGAGTTACTGTTACTAATAAAAGTTGTGGGGACAGCCTATGTCTCACCTGTTTTCATAGGACAAATGTTCAAAGCACATTGTTCAATCCAAGGCATACCCCAAGCCCCGGGCCCTGCTGCTACCCCCCCCCCCAGGCCCTGGCATGGCCACTGCTGGCCCCAGGACAGATGGTGACAGAGATGGTAGCAAAATGGGGAGAAACACAGATGGCTATGATTTCAAGGGCTCAAGTATCCCAAGGAGCCAGCAGAGATCAGAGATGCAGGCCCCCCTCCCACCCCGGCACTAGGTGGAACAGAAAACCCCTGGGCCCTGGGCCCTAGGGGGCACTCAAGGAGGTGGGGACACTGAGTCCGGAGTGAGCACTTGCTGGAGCTCTATGCTAGGGCCAGGCTGGGGGAGGCTCTGGCTGCCTGCTTTGGAAAAGCCCAACCAAACCTTTAGGGGCTCTAGGGAAGAGGTACCAGGGATACCAGCCCCCAGTCTGAGTGCAGGTGAGAGCAGTGGACTCAGATGCAGTTGGGGCAGGAGCTTCCTCCTCAGCCACCCAAGGCAGGCTATGGGTATGTATGTCCCCCTGGGGCCTTTGGGGACAGGAGTTTTTCTGCCTCCCCTGAGAAACACAACGCCCTGGTGCAGGGCTAAGACAAGTAGAGTCAGGATCAGAGGCCCCTGTGCACACAGTGCAGTTACTGTGTCCTGAAAAGACAACCCATCTAAAGGGTCTGGAGGTCTGCACAGTGATGGGACCTTTTACCTGGGACCACACCATTAGTAGCGATGGCACTCATGGAAATGGCAGTCAGCAGTGTCTGCAAAAAACAGGTGTCTGTTTTAGGAGAAGATACTTTGCAGAAGCCCACCAGCCTCAGACACTCTGTGGGGACTGGCTCAATGCTGGCCCCCACACCTCACCACATACTTCCAGGCCTGGTCCCAGGAGCTGCTGAGCATCCAGAGCCCGAGGCCCCATCTTCTGCTACTCAGTCCAAAAAGCTGCTTACAAATTTCAGACTCGGGAACCAGCCCCAAGAGACCTTGGGGCACAGTGGGACCCTGTGTCTGCCTGCCAATGGGGTTACCTCCCCTGGGGGTGCAAGGATGTCATCTGAGTGCCTACCTCCCAGGAGTGCTAGAGAACTTGGGTGGGCCCTGCCTCTCGTTGCCCTGCCTGTGGGACCAGGAAGTCTCCACACCATGGGATGGAAGAAGACACATCTGCAGTGTTTTATTTCTTCCCAGGCAGAATGTCTCAGGTCAACTGGGTAATTAAAACCACCAAATTCTGCTTCTAAGAAGAATAAATGGAAACAGGAAAGGCCAGCAGGGGGCAGGAGCTCTGGGAACGTTTCAGGCTGGGGCTTGTCTGGCCAAATGGTGGCTCTGGCAGCACAGACAGGTCCCAGCTGGCTTTGTCGCCCAGCCTGATGGGTTCCTTCCTCTACCACAGGGCTTCTGAAAATGCCCACAATCTTCCTAACTGAAAGGTGACCTTGCCAACCCCCCCGGAAGCACTCAGCTGCTAGGACTGCCAGGCAGCTTCTCTGCCAAGCTGTGACCTTCCTTTTTGCAGGAGGTGGGGGACCCCACTGACCTACTGATGAGCAGACTGGCCCCACAGCCCATCCTCCCTACGGCTGTGGCCCGCTCTGGCTGAGGAGATGGCTCTCTGCAGAGGTGTCTGCACTGGTGCCCAGGGCTTGGCCAGCGGCCCCTGGACAGCCATGGCTCTCAGGGTACAGGAAAGCCCTGCTGCACAGCTATGCTGCCCCCAAGGCAAGAACGCCACACCTGGGGCCCAGGGAACTCACACAGGAGCAGCACATGGCCACGATGAGGAAGGACTCCAGGACGCCAGCTGCCCCCACAATCCAGGTGAGGCGCAGGAAGAGAATCACGCCCAGGATGTTCTGCAGGCAGGGCAGGTAGACGCCAATGAAAGTGCCCATGCGCGGGGTCTGAAAGACAAGCAGCATGTCCTGGGGGCTCCAGAGAAGGGCACACATGGGCTGTGGGGGCCAGGACGGACCCCAGGGCCAGCGGCAACTGCACCGCGTCCCACACAGCCACAGCAGGACCCCCATGCCCAGGAGCTTCCTGCATCCTCCAAGGGCAGAGATCAGACTCAGAGAGTTATGAAAGTACTGGGAGGAGGGGACCCAGCTCTGACTTCATACCCAGGAAAGCTCTGAGTCCAGGTGATGTGGCCAGAAGGAGGACAAGAGAGCCGACTACCTGGGTAACTAAGCATTCCAGCTTCTGGCAGCATCCTAACCCCTCAGAGGATGTCACCACAAGAAGACAGCACAGCTCATAGCTCTGCCCGCTTAGGCCAGCATCCCTGGTGACCATGTGGGAGAAAAGCACTAAGATCCCCACGCCACGTGGCCTGTCAAGTGCAGGCTCTGGGTACACACCCCACTGCCCCCCACTGTCGCATCCAAGGCCACCTGTGGGCCAAAGGCACATAGTGCAGACCTGGGACAACAGCCAGGACAGGTCTGAGCTCTGGGGACACAGAGCTGTCAGGGGACAGGCCTGAGATCTGGGGGCACAGAGCTGTCAGGGGACAGGCCTGAGATTTGAGGACACAGAGCTATCAGGAGACATGCCTGAGATCTGGGGGCACGAGAGCTGTCAAGGGACAGGCCTGAGATCTGGGGGCACAGAGCTGTCAGGGGACAGGCCTGAGATCTGGGGACACAGAGCTGTCAGGCAACAGGCCTGAGATCTGGGGGCATGAGAGCTGTCAAGGGACAGGCCTGAGATCTGGGGACACAGAGCTATCAGGAGACAAGCCTGAGATCTGGAGAACATAAGAACTGAAAAGACGGTCCCAGGATGAGAGGACATTTGAACAGGAGAAACTCCTCATATTTAGTCAATAGGAAAAGGGGGAAGATACGCTTTGAAAACATCTGTGAATGACCCAGGAACCTTGTGTGGAGGCTGGCACGGGCTACAACCCTGGTCAGGGGATGGAGGCAGGTGCTGACAGTCACATCTAGGATGTGAAGGGAATGGGACAGGCTTCTCGGGGTCACCTCACAGGAACACTTCCCAAGGTGAGGCTGGGGACAGGGCAAGCAGAAGAGTCCCATGCCTCTGAGGCCCCGAGGAAAGAAAATGGTTAATTTATTTATTTACTCATTCATTCATTTATTTGAGACAGAATCTCACTCAGTCACCCTGGGATAGAGTGTGTCACGTTACAGCTCACAGTAACCTCAAACTGTTGGGCCTAAGTGATACTCTTGCCTGAGCCTCCCAAATAGCTGGGACTACAGGCACCCACCACAACGCCTGGCTACTTTTTTGTTTCAGTTGTCATTGTTGTTTGGCAGGCCCGGGCCAGGTTCAAATCCGCCAACTCTGGTGCAAGTGGCCAGTACCCTAACAACTGAGAGACAGGTGCTAAGTCTGTTTTTTTTTCTTTTTTAGACAGTCTCACTATGTCGCCCTCAGTAGAGTGCCATCGCGTCACAGCTCACAGCAACCTCAAACTCCAAGACTTAAGCAATCCTCTTGCATCAGCCTGAGGACTATAGGCGCCCGCCACAGCGGCTGGCTATTCTTTAGGGATAGGGTCTCGCTCTTTGCTCAGGCTAGTTTCAAACTCCTGAATATTGTAATTACAGGCGTGAGCCACCGTGTCCAGCCCAGGAAAACAGTTTAAAGGAAGTAGCCCAGAGTGTGTGAAGCCCTGGGTCTGGAAGCCTGGGAGAATTGAGGCTTCTAAGCCCTAGAAGCCTAACCCTAACCCTAGGCAGTGATGTGTGCTGGGCTTGGGCACAGTGCCTCGAAAGGACAGGGTGGGCTCAGCGCCTGTGGCTCAAGTGGCTAAGGCGCCAGCCACATACACCCAAGCTGGCGGGTTCAAATCCAGCTTGGGTCCACCAAACAACCACGGCTGCAACCAAAAAATAACCGGGCGTTGTGGCAGGCGCCTGCAGTCCCAGCTACTTGAGAGGTAGAGGCAGGAGAACTGCTTGAGCCCAGGAGTTGGAGGTCGTTGTGAGCTGTGATGCCATAGCACCACACTCTACCCAGGGTGATAGCTTGAGGCTCTGTCTGAAAAAAAAAAAAAAAAGAAAGGAGAAAGGACAGGGTGACCCTGGGCACAGCCCTCCACCCAGGAAACCTGCCCATGGCTCTTGGTGCAGACAGCAGAGGAGGCTGTAATAAATGTGAAAACATGCACACTGGGTGCCAGGCTAGCTCTCAGCGTGTGATATGTGGGACAAAGTCCCTCTGGCCAGAGCTAGTGGATAGCCTCTGGCCCACTCAAGGGCTCCCACTTGCTAGGGCTCAGTCTCTGATCAAGCAGAGGACAAGTGAGTCCAGACACTGGCTTCCTGCCCAGTGGTGGGGACTGAGGCCTTCTGAAAGAGTGCAGCCAGCCCTGGCCTCTCACCTGACCTAATTGCAGCACAGAAGGCTAGAAACGCCTGGGTCTGAAAAGGCCCTATAAAGGGAAGGACCAATTTGCAGAGAAATGGATGCTGTGTCTCTGGAAATGAGTCTGAGCCCCACCAGAGGGAACAATGTGGCTTGCTGCCACAGGGACGCAGCCATGCTCATTTCCAAGTGAAACCCTCCCAGAGCACTGTACACCAGGCTGGCAGAGAAAAATGGGGGCCCTTCCTGCTCTATGAAATGAGACCCTAGCAGCATCGGTGTAGGACTGCTGCACCAGTGGCCAGGGGACTCAGAGGCCAGGGAGCTATCATGCCTGTGGGGGTCATGGGGGGAGGGGACCGGGCAGTCTTCTGGGCTGGGATACGCTAGGTCCTGACCAGGACACCATCTGAACAGAAGCCTGCAGCTGAACACTGAGCTTATATCTCAGTTCAAAGCAGATGAGAGACTTGGGGCACCTTCCAAGGCACCTTGAGAAGATTGGCTGGCAGGGCTCTGCTCAGTGGCCCCTGGAGGTGCTGGGGCAGTGGGGGAGGGCTTGGTGCTATGTGGCCAGGCCTGGTGGTGCCTTGAGCTGAATAGAGCCAAGGCTGAGGGTCAGTTTCGGGGTCTTATGGACAAGGCACTCATGAGAAAGCATCTATTCCTGGACCAGGCCAAGGTCTCCCTGAGACACAAGCTGCAGGGAACAGACAAGTGGATGGACAGGTATGTGCTACCTGCACAGGGAAGGCCTGAGGCTCTAGAGTCTGAGAGCAAGAGCCAGGCCACGAGGAGGTGCCCAGGCACCCACAGAAATGGGGTTGCCTCAGGTAATAAACCTACCACCATTGTGGTGTCCACATGTGGCCTCCCCTGCTGGGAGGGGCTACCTGTGCCACAGATGCACTGGGCTGGCTCAGGCTTGGGGCTGGGGACAGGCCTGGCAGGGAATGCCAGAGAAAAGTCAGAGACTCAGTTCTGAGGAAGCCCCTGCCCCTCTGATCCCAGGAAGGCTTCAAGTCACACCTTCCATCCCTTTTTCTCTTACTGCTTCAATCCCAGACACATGGTGCTTTTCAGAAGCGACAGCCAGCTTGGTGTGGAGCTCATACCTTCAAATCCTGCACTATGGGAGGCCAAGGTGGGGAGAATCACTTGAGCCCAGGAGTTCAAAGCTGCTGTGAACTGTGATCGTGCCACTAAACTCCAGCCTCAGCAACAGAGCGAGACTCTGTCTCTTAAAAAAAAGCCCTGTACACCCTTAGCTGCCTACATGGCATACTCACACTGCCAAGACTCGGGAAACACTAGTTTGGTGTCAAGAAAATGGGGCTGGGAGGGAGAAACGACCCTGATGACCCTCCTGGCCTGTGGAGGCTGGGCCCACCACAAGCCTTTCTTCAGTGGAGTTTCATTTGAATCTTCTGATTTTACAGTGATATGTATGTATTGCAAAAAATTTAAACAGCAGAGGGAGATAAGAAGAAACCAGGACCCCTGTGACCCCTGGGTAAGAACCATACTGGCCACGGACATGGTCCTCTTCTGTACACATGCTGACCGGTGTTGGAACACCCTGCCTAGTCCCAGCCATGGCAGTGCTCAGGTAATTGCGCTCAGCTGCAGCAGCGTATCAGAGCCTCTCATGGGATACTTCAGTGGTTTCTATGCTTTGACTCTTTTTTTTTTTGAAGACAGAGTCTCACTCTGTCACCCAGGCTAGAGCTGTACCTCACAGCCACCTCAGACTCATGGGCTCAAACAATCCTCCTGGCTCAGCTTCCTGAGCAGAAAGGATTACAGGCACCTGCCACCATGCCTGACTAATTTTAAAGTTTTTGTAGAGATAGGATCTTGCCATATTGTGCAGGTTGGACTCAAACAATCCTCTTGCCATGACCTCCCAGAGTGCAGGGATTACAGATATAAGCCTCCATTCCCCGCCACACTTTGACTCTTAAAAAAACTTCCCAAAGGAGCAGCCTTCCCAGGAACCCCTCCATGCTCCCTTCTTAGGATAAACTCCTAGACAAAACTTGGGAAATTCCTAAAAAAATGGTATCAGACTAAGTGTCCTATGATTGAAAAGAAAAAGGATGACCCCACTGCCCAACCTAGGGCATGGGGAGCCCTGCAGCCCCTCGGGAAGATGCTGCTCTGCCTCAGGCCCCAGCCCTCCAGCCCCATTATCGATAGGGCAGCTCTTGCAGGATGAACAGAGACCCCAACCTCTGTCCCCAGCAGCCAAACACAGAGCTGGCAGACGTGCAGGCTAACTGCTGTGCTTACCCCGGAAGGGCAGTGAGGGAGAAAGATGGAGAAGAGACGAGGAAACAGGCCCTGGGACCCCCATGCAGATAAAAGAGGCAGCTCTACTGTGACCGCTGTACCTGGGCCTCACGCCGCCGGCTGTCCTCAGCCTCCTCGTGCTCCACTACGCCCTGGCTCAGGTTGGTGTAGTTGGCCAGCTTGTTGAGCAGCGAGGACACCATGGGGTTGCTGTCCATCTCTTCCTGCAGTGTGAGGGCATCAGTCACCACGGGTTGTGCATGAGTGCCCTCCCACACCCCAGTCTGGGGGCCTCCCTGCCCAGGGATCCTGGCTGGCCCCCAGCCCCACAAGCTCCTGCCCTAATTTCATGATCTGGACACCTGCACCACAGGTCAGAGGTCCCAGACAGCTGCACAGCAGGTCAGAGGTTGGGACTACCAGCCAGGGAGGTGTACCCTCAGACCCAGGAGACCCCTCACAACAGCCCTCTCTCTCTCCTCTGCCTGACAGGGACAGGGACAGTCCCCTGCCTTGGATCCCATGTGGAGTGAGGCACTGCCTCAACCCAAGCTCACTGTCAGCCTGGAGACCCTCCACGAAAGCCATGGCCCTAGGTGCCTTCTGGTAGAAAACAGAATTACCTCAAAAAGTGCCATGTTCTTTCCTTCAAAGAAAACCTCTTTCTCCACCTCGACGCTGTTAACGAACGGGATATTTTCTCTTGGGTTTCCATCTCCTGCTGAGAGAGAAACAACGCAGGGTCAGCTTTGGAAGGAGGTAAAAGGACAAAAGGCAAGAGGCACCTTGGCTGGAGGCAGGCCCTGGGGACCCAACCGTGAGCGCGAGGCGGGCCCTGGGGGCCCCAGCGTGGGTGAAGGCAGGCCCTGAGGACCCCGTCTGGTCCCCGGCACAGCAGCCTGGCCACCAGTTGGTCACGTCTGGTCCTCAGCTAAGGGGACGCTTGTTTTCCACACACTCTCCTTCCTTCCTCCCAAACACCCATGTTCCAAGATCACTGGTACCTGAGAGCACACGCGCTGCTCTGCGAAGCGAAGCACGAGAAGCTGCCCCAGAGCCACCTACAAGAGGCCAGGCCCTCCAGCTTTGAAAATGTTTCCTTTGACTCAGAGTTTGGCAAAATCACTTTCAGAGTCCAGCTGCACCTCTCAGCCTCACTGCATGATCCACCACTTTCTGGGGTACACAGGCTTTTCCACTCTGGCCCACAGTGAAGACACTGACAGCATCAGGCATGTGGCCCCTGCCTGGACGACCCCCTCCTGCCTCTTTCCAGAGACCAGGGCAGAAGGCCCTGTTATTGCAGGGGCAATGCCAGGTGGTGGCTTGGTACCTGGGAGGTGGGGCAGGGCCAGCTGAGGCCCCTTAGTGCTGAGAACTGCTGGCATCTACAGCAGGTCGTAAAACACAAAGAACACGTGTGCTACAGTTTGAATGTCCCTGTCCCCTCCCTGAAGCAGCAGTGCCAAGGGGTTCTGGCCAAGGCGGCCCTGTGCTCATGAATGTGGCAGGGGTGATGCAAGGGGCTTTGAGCAGCAGGAACACTCTCCCATGAGGCCGCAGCAGTAGGCCCCACCTCAGGTGACCTGTCATAGCAGCACAAAGGGACTTAGTCGGCACTGGCCACCTACAGACACCAAGTTCTGCCTGTAACCACAGCTGGGAACACGGGTCTGTGAATGCACAAGGATGTACACACACCACTCACCCCAGCACACCCGAGGGAAGACCCTGCCCCACAGCCTGCACATTGCCCCACTCTGTTCAAAACACTGGGGGGGCACCCGCCTGGCTCCACACAGACCCTGGAGGTACAAGCCCAGGTCCCCCCCCACAGCAGTGGATGGACAGTGAGAAGACGCCCAGGCCTCACACACAGCAGTGGATGGACAGTCAGAGGACGCCCAGGCC